GAGCAGGAAACATGCGGAAACCAGCACCCTCCAGGAGTGGGTCTGGCATCAATGTGCAGGGGCTGTTCTCAGCAGCACCGCGCTGCCGGCGGCACAGATGCCTGCCGGTGTCCAAAAGATGGTGCCGGGACCTACCGCGCAGCAGTGACATGCCGACTCCCTTTACTCACCCACCGCAGTGGGGTCCCTCCATCCGCCTCCCCAATCACTGCACCCTGCAGAGATCACTGCCCTTCCCCAGCAGGTGAGGCAGGGCGCTTTCTACCCTCTCCCTGCAGCAGCTACTCGATTGACGCTGCGGAAGTGAAAGCTGCCACAAAACGAGAACGCAGCAGTGCTAAGACCCTGACCTGCTGGCAACGCTCCTACCAATGCAGCCCGGGATGCTGTTAGCCTTCTTGGCAACAAGGGCACATTGCTGGCTCGTACCCATCTTATTGTCCTCTGTCACCTCCAGGGCCTTTTCTGCAGAGCTGCTGCCCAGCCAGTCACCCCCAGCCTGTCCCGGTGCGTGGGATTGCTCCGTACTAAGTGCAGGACTTTGCACTCGTCCTTGTTGAACCGCATGAGATTCCTTTTGGCCCAATCCTCCAATTTGTATCGGTCACTCTGGATCCTAGCCCTACCCTCCAGTGTACCTACTCCTCCTTCCAGCTTGGCGTCATCTGCAGACTTGCTGAGGGTGCGCTCTGCCATCTTCCAAGTCGTTGAAGAAGACATTGAACAGGACAGATCCCTGGGGCACTCCACTTGATACCTGCTGCCAACTAGACATCGAGCCATGATTACTACCCCCTTGAGCCTGATGCTGCAGCCAGTTATCTGTCCACCTTGCAGTCCATTCATCCAGCTCGCACTTCCTTAGCTTGCCTGCGAAAATGTTGTGGGACACTGTATCAAAAGCCTTGCTAAAATCAAGGTAAAGTACATGCACAGAGCTATCTCATCGCAGAAGGCAATCAGGTTGGTCAGGCATGGATATTAGGAAAAACTCTCACTAGGAGGGTGGTGAAGCACTGGAACAAGTTACCTACAGACGACGTGCAATCTGTATCCTTGGAGGTTTTTAAGACCTTGCTCCACAAAGCCTCGTCTGGGATGATGTAGCTGTGGCTGGCTCTGCTTTGAGCAGGGGTTTGGACTAGATGTGACCTCAGGAGGTCCCTTCCAACCCTCCTTCTCTATGATCAACACAAAACACCCTTTCCCTGCTGCAGGATTAAGCACTGTAAAAGCCACAGGTCATGCTCCCCTCTCCCCTGCCAAATGCCACAATGCTGACTTAGAAATCAGTGACGCTTAAAAAGCAGGTTTGTTCTGGGGATGTTTGCATTTTGCCTGAGTTTTTAGGGTGCACTTGGATCATCCTCCAGCTTTGCTCTGCCAACAGAGAGCTGGAAGCAGCAGATGCTGCTACATCAGTGAAAGCTGAGCTTTATGGGGAAAAATCAGAGGATCTGTTGTAAGAACATGAGCTGGGAGCACGGTGCCCTGAACAAAGCTGTGCAGAGCTAGAGAGCAGCCTTGCCAGCAGGCAGGATGGGTGTGCAGCAGAAACCAAGAGGACAGCAACCTGCACAGTGAAACCTTCCAGGCTGCTGCAAATTGAGAATGCAATTCGGGACACAAGCCTGTCCCAATACACCTGTGTGCAGTTCCCAGATAATCTTGGAGCCTTTCTAGTGACTCATTCATTAAGTCTCCATAGCTAAAAACAGACACTGGGTTTGTCCCAGGACTGACTGTCCCAGGTCTCGACTAGAAGCAGGAGCGGGGAGAACAATTATTTCCATACACAGCTTGAATGGCAATTAACTGAAATTAGTTAGAGAAAATGTTATCTTAGTACTTCAAGGAGACAGTGGACAATTGTACATCTGCAAGGATCTCAGAATAAAAGGCTCTGCCCCAGGAGAAATCTGACCTGAGTTTTTAGCCTACATCTTGTGTCCACAACCATCCAATGCACAGCTCTTTTCCACAGAGAAGCAGAAAGAAGGCATTAGTTCATGGAAACACAAAATACTATAATTTTCCATATAAACACATGGGGCAGATTTAGATTAAAATGTCTCAGGGAAACACAACCTTCAGAGGAGCAGGACAACAAAACAAGCCGTGGAAACTCCTGGGATGAGCATATAACACATTACAGAGGCTCACACTTGCCTTCGAAGTCTCTCCGCCATGCACAGACCAAGTCCAAGCATTTGCTGTTTGCTGGCTTGTCCATGGAGCTCATCTTCTGGGGTACATAAGCACTTTGGACATGGAAGAACTTACACTCACACATGGGGAAATATCCCCATTTTACAGGTGGGAAATGAAGGCACAGAAAAGCAAAGGGTCTGTCCATAGTGTGAAGCCTGACCCACATGTACCCATCACAGAAACAAGGTGATGAGGGTGCTGTAAGGGGTGTCCCTAGCTGCATGCTCAGGGTGCAGGTTTCTGGTACTCTCCAAGCGGCAACTTGGGGCCGGTGCACAGGGGATGAGAGTGGGGAGTTTTGCCAGGTCCCACGAGGAGCCTGCGGCAGACTTGGGCACTGGGCAGGATCTCCAGGACCTTTGCCCCTGAAACCCTCCTCCTTCCACTTTTGCTGAACTGAAAGTCGTTGAAAAAACAGAAAACAGAGAGAAGTGGAGCTGCAAGAGGGGCTTCCAGAGGTCGCGTCTAGTCCACTCCCCTGCCTCAGGCAGGATCATCCCTATCCAATCCATCCCGCACAATCTAACTTCTTCATAAACCTACCATCGTCCCCGACACAACACCAGACATTGCATCGATCCTTCCACAGGTAAAGCAGGGGACCACGGCAGCCACGTCTTGCTGCTATCCAAGGCTGCTAGCATCTGCTCCAGAGATCCCAGGCATGTCCCACATGCCCAGAGGTAAAAATCCCTGTGCAAACTACACCAATCTGACCAGGGAGTAAAATTCCAGATCTGGCAATCGGTGTGCGACCTACCTGTAAAATGGGGATATTTCCCCGTGTGTGGGTATAAATCCTTCCATGTTCAAAGTGCTTATGTACTAGAGGGGCAAGACCGCCTGGCCAGGAACCTCTAGCTAGCAACCAACCCCCCTGAGGGACAAACATCAGCACCACAGGACCCAGCCCCTAACTCAGCACTGCCAACCAGGCTCTTCTGTCAGCACCGTGGGAAAAGCATAAGTGCAAGCAGCTTGTAGCCCTAAGTTAGGCTGCCGTCGGTTAGTGGGTTCCCTTCTCTCCTGTCCTGTCTCTAGCCCCGACCCCACTCTCTTGGGGTCCCCGTCTGGTGCCCTGCAACACCGCAGAGGCTGCCCCAGCACCCCGCCAGCTCCTCCCCTCCCCAGACTGCCTTCCACTGCTTACTACGAGTTGATGCAAGGGGTGCAGCCAGAAAGGGGCCATGGGCACCCCTGCTCTGCAAGGATGGGGCTGTGCTTAGGCAGCCGTGGAGGACGACACTGGCAGAACAGAGCCCACGGGGGAAAACTGCTCATTGACCGCTCACAAATGGAGAGCATCATCAGTGTGGGAACAGCACAGGCCATACAGCCCATGCTGGTGCAGGACTGGCAGTATCAGCACACCCTCCTGCCAGGCAGGGTCCTCGCTCAGCCACCCAGAGGTTGAAACCTCTCTCAAAGACAAGGCACTGCCAAGGCCCTTTGCTTTCTAGCACCCAGCTGCTGCTCCGTGTGCGACATGTTAGCCAGATCCCACTTGGTCTAGGATGGACTTCGCCATGCCAGGCTCCCGCCACAGCAGCACGGTCTTCAGAAGCTTGGAGTTCTCTGTAGGACCATCCTCTTTCTGCACAGCAGTGAAATGGTTAATAAAAGGCTGCCACCGAAAAGGGAAAGGGGTTTGGGACCTGATTCTGGACCCCTGGGTCTCACTCCCAGCTCTGGAGGAAGCTCCTACAAGGCACAGACTCCAGCCCGTTCCCACATCTCTAGCAGACTGGACCACCTCTGACACTTCCCCTTCAAACCCTCCCTGCCCCTGTCCCACCAGGTCCGTCTTCACCTGCACCTTGCCCTCCCATCCAGCTCTCCTCACCTGCAACTCATTCAGGTGATCTGGGGGCAGTTACCCTCCCAGCCAAGCCGGGATGCCCCTAGCACAGATCTGGCATGACTTGTAGCTGCTGGAAAAATGCAGCTGCAGGGAGAGAGGCCCCAGGGCCAGAGCAGGTAATGAAACATAATGCCCTCTAGAAAGCCTGCAACCCTGCAAGGACTGAGTTTTTTTTTTTTTTTTTTTTGTTTAAATGGCTTCTAACTTGGCCTAATTTAAACTGATTTCCACAGCGCTGGTGAAAGGTACTGCTCCTTCTTCCCTCAGCCCTAAAAGTCACGTTCTTGGAAAGTCTGGGCAGAACTACAACAGGAGAGGCACCTGGTACTGCAATTGCAGACCAAGCTGCTGCTGCCTCAGCTGCTGAAAAGGGGGTCTTCCACCGGGGGATGTAAGCAAAGGCTCTGGCAACTCCACTTACAGGGGCAGCACACAGGCATGCTGGAAAGGGCTTGCGACTGTCAAGAAAGCAGAGACTGATGTTCACGCATGCCTCCATAGGCACTTTTCTTTTAGAACAGCTTCAAAAAAATCCCTCAAGTGAGCACATGCACACACATGTATGCATGCACTCTCAGCCCATGGCCAAACCTCTGAAGAGCTCTGGAAAGGCACCCTAAACCACACTGCTCCTCTCTGCAACTTTATCTGAAGCCTTATCGGATCCAAAGGCGCTTTTTGACCTCAGACAGGGCGGGCGGGAGAAGCAGAGCGAGAGCAGGGGACGGGCCGACGTCACTCTGTGCAAAGGGAACTACCCAGGCTGTTCGGGTCCTGCCAGCAACCGAGGTCATGTGGAAGCATTTAAGATTTAAGTCCTCATAAGGGACTCATTTCAGCATTCCCATCCTCCCTAAGAATGCCCCTTCTTCCAGGCCTGGCTCTTCCCCTCCCCTGACCCTTTCTTTCCCCTGTAGGGCTGCTTTACCAATGTGATTTAATTACGTGCTTGGAAATTGAAATTGCCGGAGTCGAGGGTGGTCTCCCTCGGTCAGCTCCCACCACCCTGGCTCTCGATACTCTGGTGCGTGTGAAACAGGAGGCTGGATTTCAGCAGGCGACAGGTCCCCCAGCTCGTGTGCCAGAGTAAGCCTGCGCTCCAGGTAGGTTTTTAGCATGGCTGGTTAGGATCCACATAGGATCTTCAGGGCCAGATTAAAGTTGGAGGGGGAAATATTCCTCCCAGGCAAGGTGACCTTGTCAAGCTGCCAACCTGATTTAGATGGGAAAACAAAAAGCAGCTGAATATTTTCTCTCTTTTTTTATTAGCCTTGAAGTGCAGACAACGGGGATAGGGCCAGAGAAACCCAGAGCCCCGTGGCACTCCCATCCTAGGAGTGGCCGTGTGGCTGTCTGGATGGGAGCGGGGCTTTTCAAAGGGTCTCATCACTTATTCACAATGCAGGCTGAGTTTGGGACTGGCCAAGGCTCTTAAAAGGCAGGAGCCAGCAGCACTGGAAGGACAGAGCACTGAGTTGATGCACTGTGCGGAGGCAATGTTATGATCTGTAGAGTGGGTCAGTCGATAAGCAGTCTGAAACATGGGGCTGTGCTCCCTGAACCCCTGCTACACAGGGCCAGAAGTGGGTGCCAGAACCTGGACTTTCACTTTAAAGTCACTTAAGACGTAATATACCCCTGCTTGGTGCAGCCTCACTGCAAAGTTTGCTTCCAGAATAAGTCTCAGCTCCCAGGTTTGCCTGGATGGCCATCTCCACATCGCTGGATCCTTGTTTGCATCACACGCTCCCGTGTCTCTAGACCAGCGATTCTCAAAACTGAGAGCTGGTATTTTCTGAGAAGTGCCTCAAGTCTCAAACAGTTGAGAAGCACTGCACCAGACCTTTTTGGGGCTTAGATGCAACACCCTCCAGGGCTTTTTGTGCTACAGAGTCCTGTCCCAGCGAACTGAGGGAGAATTTAATCCAAGGAGGGTGGGGGGAGGATAGTGGGAAGACACTGGAGGATCATCACCTGCTGGAGATGTTTAGCCCTCACCCTCACAGCAACATGAGTGGACTGGCAGCCTGAGTCAAGGGAGAGAAATGGCTTCAGCCCACAACCGCAGCCCTCTGATGAAAGCCGCACAGACATGCCCACACAAACCTGACTTACTGTGCCAGGCCGTAGGCACCCTGAACCCCACGCAGGCTGCCTTTTGAACCAAAAATAATGTACCTATGTGTGCCCAGGAGGATGGCTAATTAACACGGCTGAGTGGCAATGCCAATTATCCCATGCCCAGGTTAGCTGCACCTGCAGAGTCCTGCAGATGGGCCAGCCACACGATCTATACAGGTCGATGGTGACAACCATGCACTCTCCACCTCCCCGCACCCCTTCCCCAGTGCAGACTCCACAATGCAGGGGAGGTGCTGTTACAATAACCTGACATTTCTTGCAGTGCTTGTACAAAGATCAACACAGCACTGAATTGCAGCATGAGAAGCTACAGGTGGAAGCAACAAGACAACGGTCCTTGCACGCATCTAGTCCACGCGGAGCATTTCAGGGAGTTACATGGCTCGCTGACAGTGACCCAGGAACCTGTTCAGATGCTTTGCTTATTAGAAACAGTACCCAAGGTGCACTAAAAACATATATGTAAAGAGCATTTAATATTTAGCAAATACATAATTAATACATATTTGAAGCCCAAAGGGCTCTGCCAAAACAGTCATTCCACACGAGGAGAAGCAGAGATCTATGCCATACCTAATTCAACACCAGTGTCCAAGTGAGCCCTCGGCAGATCCAGCGGCTGGTCTCCGCACTTTCATCTCCTTTCAACAGCTTCTCTTCCTGACTTGTTCTTGTCCGTAACCCACCACAATTTGCCACTGTGAAAAGCAGAAGACAGATTTCTCTCATTACTCCTTCTGGCTGCAGATTGATATCCATAATCTGGTACCTGTGCAAAGCCGCAAAGCCTTTTCCTAAGCGGCTGGTAGATTTATGAAAAAATGCTTTTTTCTAAAAGACCAGTTAAGCCTAGAAATTCTGCGATTAAAAGAGAGGGACAAATCACCAGCATAGGAGGTTGCACACCCTGGTTTTCCTAACTTTAGCAACAGTCAGGTTTAACACCCAAACCCCATCGCTGGCAGGTAGTAGAGTGCGGGGGGGGCGGGACCTCAAATAACAGCGTGCATTTAAACCACCACTTGTATTACTTATGCTAGTATTTGAGCACGTGTTCAAAGCCTATCTCGATGCCGACACCGAGCAACATATCTCTGCTACGGTCTCCACGTCCTCCAACAGGAGTCCCCTTACTTCTCACTTGGCCTTGGTGAAGTGAAGTGGTGGGGCTTCACCATCAGTCTGTCCTTCCTATTTGTACCAATAAGCACATCATGGTCTCCTGCTCCATCGGGATGCAGTAGAGTTCGATACCCCTGGGCTATCACCCAGCAGGAAGCCAGACATGCTGCCACCATGAACACACGTATAACTGACACTGATCTTGCCTAAAGTACCATTGGGGGCTGCTGCAAGGGCAGGAGGAATTAAAATGAGATGGGGAATGGACTGCATAGATCCCCCTTGCCTGGGTCGCTCTACTTTATTGCTGCTAGTCACATCACTTGAACCAGGATTTAACACAGCACTTGCACCTAGGAGTAATGCTATCCCAAGGACAGCTTCCCCACCACTATGGCATGTTTGCACGCTGTAGCATACTTACACTTGCTCTATTGCTGCCGAGTTAGGCAGCACTATTATCCTCATTTCAATTGAGGCAAGGATGCTAAGTGATGTGACCAAGGTGTCACATCAGGTAACTGAATACAGGTCCCCCAGCATCCCAAATCAGCAAACCATACTTGGGCAATACTCTCTAACAAATAAAAGGCTTTGCTGAATCAGAGAAGCTTCCGTGAACAGCCCCTTTGCTGAAGATGAGGGTTTCAGGATAATGTGGAGTTGCCAAGCCAAGCCCCAAGACTGAGCTTATGTACGCACGCAATCCCAGTGGGGTTCCCTGTCTGTGCCCTTAAGAGTGCCTTGTCCAAACACCTCTCAAAGTTTCCCCATGACAGAGGGGCAGATGCTGTAGGTCCCAACGTTGGAAAGAAAGGGGGATGTCCAAACCAGACACAGAAAGAGGAAAGCAGCTCAACCCCAATGGCTCTGGGAAGGGCAGCTGCCTGCAGGCAGGACGGAGCTTTTGGCCATCTTCCCAGGGACTGGATGCCAAGTCTTAATGCCACCGAGCAGCTTGCAAATGCGGCAAGGGATGAGGCTTGCGGGTTTGTGGGGAGGGATGGGGAAGGGAAGATCTCCCCACGCCCTCCCATCCCCTGAACAGCATGCAAGATGTCAAGGCACTTGCGGGAATCCCACCTGTGCTAACCTTCAACCCCAGCCGGGCCCTGCTCTCCTGAAGGACAGTCCCTGGAGCCTTCTCCATTTACAGCCCTGCAACAGGGAAGTAAATGCTCCAACAGCTGAAATACAGGGGTCCCAATACAGGCTGCTGTAGGCAGGGCACAGAACAAGATGGGATGACAGACCAGCAAGGAAGTGGGGTGAGCTCAGCTCCACTGTGACAGCCCCCGTCCTGCTGCCACCTCTCCCCAGCGGGCTACGCGTGGCACCGTAAGCAGACAGCTCTTTGCACCTGCCCGTTGAAGCTCACTTTTATAAAGCAGGAGTGAGGATGTCAACTGATAGCAAAAATGGAAGCAGGACTCAATCCAGCCATTTCCCAAAGGCCCGCAGCCATCCGGCCCTGGACCAGGGAAGGGAAGACAGGCCTCCCATTTCCCAGCCTGGGACTGAACTCCACATCACCCCTTCCACCTCCAGGAGCTCGGATGGGTTTGCCCAAGCCCCCTTCCTGGGATTCCTCTGCTTTCCCCTCTGCAATGGTCTTCGCCCCAGACGATTCCTCCAGCCCTGTGTCCATAAACACAGGGCCGGGCACGCTGCCAACAGCTGGTGACCCAGGCAGAGTCCTTTGATGTCAGAGCGCCTATAAAACACTGATCCTTGACCCGTGCACTTTCAGAAAGCAAACAGAGGTTCGCAAAATGATTGCACCGCATTGCAGGCGAATGTACTTTTTGTTCTGGCCCTGGGACTTCACTACCAAACTTACCAAAGTGCCGGTTTTAGCAGCTAGGAGGAGGAATTTGGGCCCGGCTGTGGAAGAGCCTTTTATTAGAGTTTTATCACGACGACGAGAGTTGGGCAAAACAACAGGGGCCCCACAAAGATGAGACTGAACATCTGCCCAAGCATCCATAACATTTCCCCTCAAGCTGCAGCCGGGGATGTTGAGGTTGGAGATGGAGGAACTTGCTCACTTTGTACCAGGCTGCCTCGAAGCTGTGGGATCGCCGCCCTGGGCATGTTAGATGGATACCTGGCTGGGATGGTTTAGTGAGCGATGATCCTGCCTCGAGCTAGATGCGACCTTGTGAGGTCGTTTCCAGACCTATTTTCCTGCGACCCAATCCACCGGCATCAAACAAGTGGACAATGGAGACCGTTTTCTTCTTTGCTCCTACAACAAAATTGGTTGATCAAGCAGCAACCAAGACCCAGTTACTGCTTCTGTGCCTCTCTTTCCCTAGTTCTTCTTTGGATGAGGTGCCTTCACTTCTTTCGACTCAGTGGTTTTAAAAAAAAAAAAAAAAAAGCTTCACTCCAAACAGATGACAATAAAGTTAAAACGCAAAGCAGGCCCCCATGTAAACACTGCAGCACAACAGAACATGTGATAAAGCTTTTAAGAAGCAATTTCAAGCAGCAGGATGTTTCTAGAGTACATGGAAAGCGTGGCTGTTTCAAACCCCTTCCCCCTGGGAAGCCAGGAAGGAAACACGCAACACTAACACTGAGCATCCCATCCCCAGAAAGAGAGTAGCTAGATTAGAGAAGTAGTGTTTTTAGGAGCGTCCCCATCATCACTGATTCTGAAAGCAAATCTCTTTCAAAACAGTGGAAAAAGTATTCGGAAACTACCTAATCTCTTAAAAAGCTTCAAACTATTTAAGCACCAGGGAGCTCAAATCTCACTGAAAGACCAACAGGACTCACGAGTCTTACAAGATCTTTTCTTCTACCACCCAAAGCTTAAACTCAAAGCTGTACTTAGCCTCCTGTCTATATGCAGGCAAATTTCCAGGGTGCCAAAGTTTAGAAGAGCTAAGCTCAGGATAGTTTGAAAGCTGCCTCATTCAGGGAAGTCGGCGGAAAGCTGCTCCACATCCTCCCTTTTGGTCCAGCTGCAGCAAGTCAGATGGGAATACTGAAAGTCCCAACTAACTTGCCCTTCCCAATAGGCACGCTGGATTTCTTTCTTGAACCAATGCAATACCGGTGCGGTTTAGGACACGAATGAGTTTCAAATTTTGTACTAACAGACACTTAACAAACCCCCCCAACAACACATCAAACACTAATTGCTTTTTTTAATTTTGTTACTGCAGCAAGACTTAAAGCCCTCTTCAGCAATCGCATGCCGTTGAGAAGCATGGTCTTCCATGAGTCTCTTAACACTGGGGGCTGAAGATGGCTGGCAACGCCAATCTGGGATCGACAGGCTCTTGCACGTGTTTCCGAGTCGGGTGGGTGGCTCCGGATTCCTGGTTCAACTCAAAGCCTAACGCCAAGCCCGTAACTCAGCTTTTAGAAGCAAGTTACCATCTAGATGGACATATTTGGGATGAAAGGGATGCTGTATTTAAAGACTTTCTGCAACCAGAGAGGAAGGAAAGGAGGAAAGAATTAAAGCACAGGGTTCATCTGGACTAAGGCTTCCCAGGGGCTTGCTTTCTCAGCCCAGGAGTTGCATTAATTTTAGGGGGCCTTGGAGCCGTGGAACTACTTTTAGAGGTAAAAAAATGTGCGTTTGAGCATTTCCACAGTTGGCTTGTTCCACGCCACTGATGCCAGAATTTCAGCTCCCTTGTTTGACTCTGCTGGGTTATATTTTTGGTCTGAAAAAAGTAAGTAAAATACAACTTTTCTGGCTCTTGCTGAAACTTTGAAACCCAAGAGCTCTGAGAACATCAAACCTTTCTGTGCACTCCTCGGGTTGCCAACAGGCTGATTTTTTGGAGGGACCTGACCCTGGATTTAGAGAGGAGCCCAGCACTGACAGCAGTATTTTTGGTTCCTATGTGAAAGCCCCTGTAATGCTCAGCTGCCAAGTCTTGAAAAAGTTCCCAGGAAATGAGCGGCAGTTTGCAGCAACCCTGTTCCTCTGCAGATCTCACAAAGAGCATTCCCTTGTTGGCTTACCACCGCAGTGGGAGGAAGTCACATCAATCGCAATGTTTATGCAAAGCTGCAGAAACATTTCAGTGGCCAGCAGAAGGTCAAGCAATCCATCAAGACCTACCTCCGTATCAGACCTGCACAGCATGAAGACGGAGGCAGGCAGCAGGCTGTTCCCAAGGATCCTCTCCATGCAAAAGACAGGACGGCCCTGCACTAACTTACCCCAGGCATTCCTTTTCTCCTGTCATGGGAGTCCACAAACCCTGTGGCTCCACGTAGGCAGAACCAGACCTGTCAGTTGAGGAAGACTGGAAATAGTTGTACTTGGCATCCGGCCACATTGGCTCGAATGGTGCGGGGCCTGTCTGCAGGCCAGACTGGGCCCGCAGACCACCTCCCCATCCCCTCCTCAGTAGACCTGATCTGGGGGCTGCTCCAGCCAGACTGGGACCTATGCTGCGTGGATCCTGAAGTAGTGGAAATGGGCACTGAGTGCACCTCAGTCTGGTTGGGGCAGCAGCCATGCTGCACGTGTGGTGCCTGCTCCAGCCAGTCTGGGACCCGTGCTGCATGTGCTGCCCATGAGCATTGCATGCAGCACAGGT